AATTAAAGGATTATTGTTTAAGGCCAGCCTGGCAAAAGTTCACAAGAACAAACCAGAAGGTCCCAGCACCATGGCTTAAACCTAGCCATCCCTGCTACTAATCCCAGCTACTTGGTACATGGGGATGAGGAGGATCAAGGACATCTAAGGGAAAAAATTGGCAAGACTCCATCCCAATCAGTAATTCAGGCATGGTGGTTTGAGTCTATGACCTACATACTTGGGAGGTTGTAAATAGGAGGATCATGGTCCTAGACAGAAATGCAAGACCCTACATGAAAATGCCAAAAATGCTGAGAATCTGACTCAAGTGGTAGAGTACCTCTGTAGCAAGTGCCCTGTGTTCAACCCCAGAACTATCCCCTGCCACCCCCAATAAACGAACAAGCCAGGCATAGTGGAGCATATCTGATTTCAAGCTACTTGGAAGGCAGAGGTAGGCCATTTAGGGCATAAATACTATCTGACAAAAAAAAAATTAAAAGGATTGACAGTGTGATTCAAATGGTAGAATTCCAAGGCAAGACCTTGAGATCAGTCCCCATTACCATGCCCAAAGTAAGTAAATATGTTAATTGAACAACTCATTAATTTAGCCAGCAAATGTTTATTGAGTACATACCATATGCTAGGCATATTCTGGATGCTAGGGATATGGTAGTAAACAAAAACTCTGTATTCTATTGAGATAAGAATATACCAGGCAGTGAATAAGGTGGGAAACAAAGAGCTGACTAAAATAGTTCTGTTGTCAAGGAACTTACAGTCTGGGATCATTTAGTACATTTTATTGTTCTGGCATTTTAAACCGTGCTGGAACTTTCTCCATTAGAGAACAAATTACTTCGTGGGCTTTATTCTTAGCTATGACCTAAGATATTCTTGTCATATCTCATTTCTTCTTCTGGCAGGAAACATGTCCTGTTGTTAACATGAGGGAATGTGGAAATTCAAGTCACTTTATGTAAATCAATAGTTTTTTTCAACAAGTTTTAGATGAAATTATGTTGTGTTAACAGTAGGTATCATTGAGAAGATAATTCAGGCCTAGATTTACACTGATCTGGAATTTTCTGGGAAAGTATTGTTAACAAGGAATGACAGTCTAGGTAAACTAGCACAACTGAATCTCTAAAACTCTGAAGGTACTCTCCTCACTCCTCCATCTCAGCAGCAGCAATATGATGAAACTACCTTGTCATTTACCTTAATTAACATAGCAATTTGCTGCACATTTTCCAAAAGTGCTAATAGGTGTTAACTCAAAATAGATTAAAATACTAGACAAATTGCTACTACCTTAGAAAGACTTTCAATAATTGTGAAAACACAAATGATAGTTAGGTAGTCTTTGGTGAGAACTATGAAATCCAATCTCATATATTTATATATATATATATGCATACATATATATTAAACCTCTGGCACATGCCTTTTTTTCTATTTAATCACTGTAATTTCTTCAAATGGCACAGCTGACTATTTCTTTAGGAAGACATACTTCATTTTTTTTTAATCTCATGTCTCAGATAGGAGCTGCCATTGATAGTTTAAGCAAGAGATAAAGAAAATGAATGCAGAAAACTAGGAATAATGGGAAAATTTTAAAATCATCTTTATTTTTGTGCTTCCTTTTAATATTGCATACATTTTATGAGCTGTGTACACTTTTCTTCAAAGCAAGTAGAGTTGTACATGATAAAATGTCTACAGAAATGTGTATGTCGGTGTAAAACTGACTTGAACCTTCCTAGTGTCTTATACTGAACACATCTACAACATCTAAGAACCATGAAGTCTATACAGAGACCAAGTGAGCATAATTTGTACTGTTATACTGTACTCATAAACTGTTTTGTTAAATGCCAACTCCTTTGCACAACTACTTAAGGATAATCAAAAATTTAAAAAGTAAAACATAACTTTAATATAAAAATTGTCACACTGTATCACTAGGAGACATTTAAAGTAAAAGAACCTTTCCTATAGTAAACTTGTGAGCATATGTATTTTCCCATGAATAACTCATACCCAGCAAAGCATTCAAATAGAATATTTGCATTTCCCCTTTGCTTTGTTTTCTAGAATTTATAGAGCACAGTTTAGCAAAAGAATTGCTCAGAAGACATAGCATTACCACAGAGGATTGCCAGTGCTGTTTTTCATACAGCTACACAAAGAAAATTTGTCTTTTCTTATCTACAACCTAGGAATTAACAAAATTATCTCTATTCTTAATGGTGTGTACCTTACTTTATGCAATAGAAATAGATAAATTGAGTTTTGGTATATCAAAGGATACATAAAATATATAAGGGGAGCTGATGAAATAAATTAACTCTTCAGGAAGTCTTGATGAAAGTGAAAATTATTGCCTAATGTATACACCTCATAAATCCATATCTTTCTGTATCAGGTTTTAAGGTAAATTATGTGCCTCTTCTTAAACAAGTTATTACAGAGATAGTTTCTGTTTTTACATATTGTCTCTGCAAAACAATTTGCCTATCAACCTTATGCACAACATTTTTATTGTAAAGATACTATAAAGAGAAGTTACAGTTATATGAATATTGAGAACATATCAAGCATTGTTACCCCCTCCTCTGTTTTTCCTCTACCATCCCTTCTCTCCCTATTTCCCCAACTCTTTCCTCCCCCACTCCCCGAAGTTGTAAAGTTTGTTTTATATCTTGGAAAAGATTGACATAGAAAATATTCTCTGACTTTATGGTAGGTTTCAATGATTTTCTCCTTTCTTTTCTTTTCCTTTCTTTCTTTCTTTCTTCCTACTTTTTAGTATGTTAGATGCTAAGTTGCTCAAATACATTTAGTTCTTTTGCAGTGAGACACACATTTCTCTGGTGTTGTCTCTGATAAAGTGACCTCAGCTCTTAGTGAAACCTGCACCTTTCATGTGTGTTGATGGCAGAAGGGAAAAAGGCAACTGTGCTCCAGTACAGAGACCACCAGCAAAAGAAAAGGGAGAATTTCATGACTGGACTGTGTTACTAGGAAAAATTCTGGCAACTCCTCTAAAGAGCATGAAGACAGATTCTTCTTATATATGAAATTGTTTCTGAAGATTACTGTTTGACCTGTTATTATTTTAGTTTGAACATTATAACTAATGTTAAATGTTATTTTTGAAATATGTCATATGTATATTAACTGGTACCATAGAAGTAGGTTCCTCTAACACATGAATGATTAACTATTGCATTCAATACTATTTATTGGATACCTCCTGAAATACAGCTACCAAGTAGGAAGCTTTGCTTGTCATTTGCTGTACTAGGTATTTAATTCTTAGGGAAATCCTGTGTCCTAAATATTGTTAACATGTTTTTACAGGTTATGCTGCAAAAATCCCATCTAAAGAAGAAAAGTTGGGGCCAGGCATGGTGGCTTAATTTGTAATCTAGATTACTTGGGAAGTAGAGATTGGAAAAGTTCACAATTTGAGTCCAGCCCAAGCAAAAACAAAAAAATACATATTAGCAAGACCTCATCCCAACAAACGGGCTGAGAATGTGGGTTCATCTCTATAACCCCATCTGCACAGAAAGCATAGGTAGGAGGACATTAGCTCTAGGCTGTCCTCAGGCAATGTCTAAAAAGTAACTAGAGCCAAAAGTAGCTGGGGGGCATGACTTATGTATAGAACCATCTTAGCAGTATGAAGCTCTTTGTTCAACCCCAACACTGCCCAAAGAAAATAATTAACTTATTTTTCCAGACCACCCACAAAGCAGCCTGTTATTTCAGAGAAGCACAGACAATGGATTTTATGATCATCTCTCTTTTACATATTCTTTCCAAGCAAACAGCAAGGGTTTGGTGGTATTTTAAGTTTCGTTCTGGTGATCCTGATCTTTTTAAACACGTACATGTATCACAAATACCTTCCTTTAGACTCACTTCAGTATAGCTTACTCAGGAAAAGTGAAATATTGATGCAATTGAAAATGCCCAAGTGTTCAATAAAGATTTTAAATAAAGCCACCTAAAAGTTGTGGTTCTTAGGTTAATCATTTATTTATCTAAAGGATGAAGAAAGCTGTCTAGTTCTGTGATATGAACTGCAATCAGCTTAAAAATAATTGACAAATTAATCCCTTCACAGCACAGCAATTGTAAAGGTGTTAGTTTTAATTAGGCCTGTCTGATTGCCTTGTCTAATCAAGAATCAAGGTGGTATCTTTGATGGTTAAGGTCTATTGGGGCCATCACTGACCTGCCAGCCATGTATGTTTTAATTATTGATTCTTCACATTTCAGCCCTTTTCACAAAGGGACTTGAAGTTTGCAATGCCTTAACATTTAAAGGGAAGGAAAAATAAACATTTTCCTTGCACTTCTATCTGGAATCCTGTGTACTCTCTCCCCATTGTGCTATATTTGTCTTAAAAGGCTATTGTGTTGACCAAGAAGTCAAATGTGATCACAACACTGTCCTTCTATTTCCTTACCTCTCAAGAGCTAGATTTTTAATGGATGTTATTAAGATCTTGATAAATCATGGACATTTATGCTTCTAGAAAATACATTTGATTTCTTTTTTTTGGGGGGGGGGATCTGTCGTGTGGTTTGAACTCTGGGCTTGGGCACTATCCCTGCGCTCTTCAGCTCAAGGTCTGTGCTCTACCACTTGAGCCACAGTGCCACTTCTGGTTTTCTAGTGTTTTATTGGAGGTAAGAGTCTCACAGACTTTCCTGCCTGGACTGGCTTTGAACTGTGATCCTCAGATCTCAGCCTCTTGAGTAGCTAAGATTACAGGTTTGAGCCAATGTTGCCCAGCTACATTTGATTTATTGACGTCATGTCTTAAAAGAAAACCCAGAAGGGCAAATGTACCATTGGTAAGTCAGAGATCCATAAAAAGGAGAAATACTGGCAAGAAGGAACAAAGAGAAGGCTTCTTATGCACCGTGTGCAGGAGTGGGCACCTGCCTGTATCAGTGGTCCCAGTGTGATGGTGGTTCTTTTCTGATTGCAGGTCAACGAAGTGACAGTGGAGCAGTTGGTGCAGCAGTACCCTCACATCACCTTCAGCACTGTGCTGCAGGACTGCAAGAGGACCTTGGAGAGAGCCTATCAGATGGGCTGGACCCCCAACATGTCTGCTGCCTCCTCCTAACACTCCTGCCCCAGCATGGGTCCCCTTGGATCATCTAGCAGGGTGGAAAAGTGTGAGCTTGGAGTAGGGATCTCTTAAAAAGGTTCTAGCTGTCACCTGTGTGCGTGTGTACTGAGTGTGCGTATCTGTGTCTTGTTTGCAAACACATAGGATAAACGCACTGTTATTTGTTCCCAGGTGGGCTGGTTCGTTTTCTTTAAAAACAATGAAGGTCATGCGAAGTATAAATGTTTTAATCTTTATGTTCAACCGCTTGTTTTTCTAAAAGGACTTTAACATTTTTAGAGTCAAAGAAAAGGATGGATGATTTTGAGCTTCTGCCCACTTTGGGAGATGCCCCTCAAAAAAAGATGCTCTTTTACTAGGGAGACCAGAACAGAAGTGAAATTTCTCTAATTAGAAGCCAGGAAACCAGTCTTCAAAATTCCAAGGACATATCCGCATGTAGTTATGGGAGCTCTCGTGTGCTTGCACACTTGTGAGTATACATATACACCAGGACAGTTTCTTTGTAAATCATTTCCTTTCCTGACAGTGGACCTCTCTTTGGGCCATGAAGGGAACACATCACCCACTGCTAACTCACTGTATCGACAGGTGGCCAACTTGCTATTTGGTGGGTGACTTAGGGACTAGAGAGAATAAAGCCCATTGTAAATTTTTATACCAAGGCAACAATCTGAACTCCCCTGGCCAACTCACAAAAGTTAATTATTCATTATTCTACGAATGCATTCTGTTGAGTACTAAATATTTTAGTTGGTTTTACATTAACATTGTGTTAGCTTTTATTTTTGTAGATAGTAATGGGTTAGGATATATTTTAATGATATGTAGATATTAGCATTATCCCTATTGAAGCCACCAATGTAAGTAATGGTGTGCAGTTATAAAAAAATCTACAGATCATTTCATTATTTTGTTAATTTTGATAATTATGAAAATATATTTCTGACATTGAGAGTAGTCACAATGATAATTAATGAGTGAGACGTAAGTAGACAATCTTTTTTTTGAACTTTTTATTTGTTTTGCCTCTAAAATATGCATGTTCCCATTATTTGAATCCTTTTAATGCTACTGCAAAGATCCGTTGCTAGCTAATGTATGAGTTAAGACAAATTAGAAAATCTAATCATTAAGATTCATTTATACTTGCCAGAAATAAGTATGTTCATTTAATTAAAGATTGCCAGCTTTCAGTTAAGACAGTACCTATCAGCAAATGAATATATGTTTTGATTTCACACATTTTCACAATTAATTAATTGTAGGGACTCAGGCTCAAGTAACTTTTCCTGCATCTAGATTTTTAATCGAGACAGCAGGGAGCCTTTTTAAGCTAGAGTGATCGCCTTTCACAATAGAGCTAGAATCAAAACCCGACTTGTGAATTTGCTATTTATTCTTTCCTGATGTGGACATAAATGTTATTTGGTCTTTAACAAATATAGTGAGGTTTGAATTTATTTCTTATCAGTTCCAACATTGCTAAAATGATACAAGCTATAAGAAATTAGCCTTACATTTGAATTCCACCCACATATTTATAATGACTCCTTTTCTGTAAACAACTGTTTCCTTTGGTTGTGTCAACATGTTTCCGATGTGGCATTTTTTAAAATCACAATCAGTTAAGAAAATCTAGTGGGCAAGCACCATGAATAGTTTTCCCATAATTAATTTAATGGATTACTAATTTAATTTGGAGGGAGTCAAATGTGTGTAAGAAAAAAACTTTACCATTAATAAACTACATTTCTTCTCACATATTGAAATGTATCATTTTCATAGCTATATCTCCACCAGTTAAATAAATCTTACTTCACAAAATTTTAAATGATTTTTAACCCAAAACTAATTTATAAGCAAGTATGTATAGTAATAGTAGCTTGAGTGAATAAACAAAAGTTTAATTTTTATATATGTCACACTATATTTTAAATAGTTAAATAAGAAAACAAAAAGGGAGAGCCATCTATGTTATAGATGGTATGGTTTCAGTTCAAAGTTGTAATAATCTTTGGAGTGTTAACAGTTTGGTTGTCAAATGGTTTCAGAATGTATAACTGATTTCTTTTAAATGTTGTATTGTTTGAATCTAAAGTACAGCACTATAATCTGCTTTAGCTTGGGGGTGGGGGGTGGGGGTGGGCTGGGGATTGCACTTACTCTCTAAAATGTTGACTAATCCAGAACGCCTGATGCAACATATCCTGGAAAACTGCTTTGGTACATTTGTAGAAATATGTAGAAATGTCATATCCAGCCTCAAAACATTAATCTCAAAAATAAAAAAAGGAATAAAAAAATAAAAACAGCCAAGAAAAGCATCACCTCAAGTGATCCTGTGATAATTGTTGAATGTGTTCTCATTAGATGCTTTGAAATGAGGCTTGAAATAAATTTTCTAGGCAATATAGCTTCTTTTTGCTTAGAATGCCATAAATACATGTGAACACATTTAATGCAGGGCTTTTTATCTTCTCCAAAATGTCAACAGTATTTTCAGAATAAAGCCTATGAAATATATTGCTGTAGTGGAAAATTCTGGTCCTTTGTCTTTAAATGTCTTTTTGAGTGGATAAAGAAAATTCACTTGGTTTGTAGTTTCTATATTTCTGTGAATCTTTTGACCTTGCAATGTGTTGCAATAAAAGAGAAACAAAGCAGTGTGGTTTTTGTTTTGTTTGAGAGACAATACATGACTCCCCTGTTACTGGGTAGGTACAATGCATGCAGCAGGCTGGGCCCTTTCGTGTTTCACTCTGTGTGTGTGTGTGTGTGTGTGTGTGTGTGTGTGTGTGTGTGTGTGTATTTGACTACTCCAGAATGATAAACAAGATTGAATTTAGGATGTTCCAATTTGGTTGGTTATTTCTGAGATAAGTTTAAAACCTGGTGGGTTTAAACAAGTGAGTTGTTCCAATTTTCAGAATCAAATATATGAATATAACATTTACTGAATAGCAGATGTATGCCAGGAACTAGGGATTTAAAGATAAATGAAGTTCATTCTCACCTTTAATTTGCTCATATCCTAAAAAAGAAATGAGAGAATTAGCAAGGGGATCGGGATAGAGTATGTAATAATGGGCAGAAGGGGGAAGACAAATTCAGTTTGGAGTTAATTTTCAGATGTCCATAAGACCTCAACTTGAAAAATGTATTTGGATATAGGAGTTCAGTTCAAAAGACAGAGACCCTTTGAAATGATATATAGATGGCATTCAAAGCCATAAACCTCTCTGAAATCATAACCTATGTACATCATCTATTATTTGGACAAAAAAGAGAAGAGGTAGAAGTACTGTGCCTTTGGGCAATCCAAAATTAGGAAGTCAAGAGAGATGAAGAAAATTCATCAAAGGAAACGAAAGAGGATAGGCTTGAGAGGAAGAGGAAATGTAAGAGTATGTGATGTCCTAGAACCAAGTGAAGAAAACTTTTCAAGGAGGAGAGAGTAATCAAACAGGCCATATGCTGCTATTAAGGGTTAAGAATTGAATTTAGCAACATGGAAACCATTGGTATCTTTGATATATTTTTATGATGGGGTAAGGCGAAATCCTTACTGCAGTGGGTCCAGATTCTGTGAGGCAAGTCTAACTGTAATATCAAAATCACACAATCATAGTATAAATGAAACCTAAAAGCCAGTCTCATTCATGGATATAATGCAAAAGTCCTGAAAAAACTATGAACAGAAATGTTCAAGTAAGTTTGCCATCTTTCCTTAGTTCATTCCTGCTGCTCAACAAAATGTCACTGATTTGATAAGTAATAAACAATAGAAAGTTACTTCTCACAATTCTGTATGCTTGAAAGGGCAAGATCAAGGCGCCAGCAGGTCTGGTGGCTGGTAAAAACCCATTTTCCAAGATGCTAACCACCTTAAACATTGGAATTAAAAAAGGAATCTTTTAAAGGGCTACTTAATTCCAGTTCTAACCAATATTCTATAGGGTCTCATCCGTGAAGGAAGATTCCCCTCATGGCCTTATCACTTCCTAAAGGCTCCACTCTTAGCTTTTACCTGAACTTTGGAAGAAGAGGCACTAGCATTGAAACTATAGTATGTATGAACAGAGTAAAGTGAAAAAATGTATATGACTTTCTCAGTAGAGACAATAAAAATAAACAAGATAATTCCAATTCATCCCTAATAAAGAATCTTGCCAGACTGAAACTATAAAAGAACATTGATAACCTGGTTTGAGTGTTTTTAACAAAGAGCTAGAAGAGACATTACGCCACACTGAAACATCAGAAAATTTTTTCCCTACACAACACAGAAGATTATTTACTATTATTACTACTTCTATTTAACATGTTACTTGAAGCTCTAGCCCAGCATAGAAATATTCTTCCAAAATGGAAAAACCAAATTCTGAGTAGTTGGAATATATATATATATATATATATATATACACATACATATATATGTATATATACATATATATATATAGTGAGACAGAGAGATTTTTCAGTCCCCGTTTTGGAACAAGTCATTTGTTTAAATCAATAGACAACAGGCAGATAGATATGCTTAAAAGAATATATACCTAGGTAACCAAACCCCAAAGAGAATTATCTATGAATTAGATTAGTAAGACACTTTGAAACGTATTTGGATATAGGATCAACATGTCAGAGCCACTTATGCTCCTATTCATTCTAGCTATGATCCTTAGATCCTTAGATCACAAATTAAAGCCAGCCTGGGCAGAAAAGCCCATGAGACTCTTATCTCCACTGAACCAGCAAATAGCTGGAAGTGGAGCTATGGTTCAAGTGGTAGAGCACAAACCTTGAATGGAAAAATCTAAGAGATAGAGCCCAGATCTTGAGTTCAAGCTCCAGTATCAGCACACTCACACACACAAAAACAACAAAGTAAACCTTATGTTTATAAAAGCAGCAAACATAAAACATTGCAACTGGTTTCCTTTTTGTGCTTGAGTTATGTTTGTTTTGTGGTTGCTGAGAATCAAACCCTACAACTTCACAAATATTGGGCAAGGACTTTACCAGTGTGGTAAAGATACCACATTATAAAGACCATACCTCCATGTCCAACACTACAACTTTTATGATAAATAGTAAGAATATCCTAAAAGATAAAAAAGCATATAGAGTTGAACTTTTCATAGATAGAAAAACTCAGTACCCTAAAAATGCTGTTAAGAGATAATCTTCGTGTCATTTTTATATATCTTGAGCGCATAGGTACTCATTGACTATGCTCTGAATTATTTTAGGAGTGTTTTGTGGTGAATAACTTACAAAGATACAGTGTGTCTCCCTCGATAGCAAAGGGCAGACATGCTTACTGTCTGGTATAATATATTCATGCTTCCAAAGTTCAAGGATCCTCTCCTGTAATACAATCATAGGTGGCTATCAGCCTACTTCTTTTTATATTTATTTCTTTACGGACTTTGGTTCTCCAGACTTGTATACAAAATGCTGATTTCTAGTTACAGTCATTATCTTAAGGAATAAGGTCCTTTGACTTGGACCTAAGAATCTTACGTCTTCTGCCAACATTCTTGAAACTTTGTTAAACTGACCAGTAGATCTACAAGTAGAGTAAATATCATCTCTTAATCTTTCCTTCCTTCCTTCCTTCCCTCCCTCCTTCTTTCTTTCCTTCCTACTTTCTTTCTTTCTTCCTTTCTTTTTTTCTTTCTTTCTCCCTCCCTCCCTCCCTCCCTCCCTCCCTTCCTTTCCTTCCTTCCTTCCTTCTTTCCTTCCTTCCTTTCTTTTTCTTTCTTCCTTTTCTTTCTTTCTTCCAGTCCAGGGTCTAAAACTCTGGGCTTGGATGCTGTCTCTACCATTTGAGACACAGCAACCACGTCTGGCTTTTTCTGTGATTAATTGGAGATGATTCTCACAGAGGGCTGGAGTGTGGCTTAGTGGTAAAGTGCTTGCCTAGCATACATGAAGCCCTTGGTTCAATTTCCTTAGTACCACATGAGCAGAAAAAGCTCAAAGTGCTGTTGTGACTTAAGTGGTAGAGCACTAGCTTCAGCACAGAGAAGCTCAGGGACAGAACCCAGACCCTTAGTTCAAGCCCAGGATCTGCAAAAAACGGGGGGGAAGGGGAAAAATAACATGCTGAAAGAAGGACAAAGAATGACCCAATGCAACAATAATACAAAACTCTATGTTGGAAATGAACTTTACAACTTTGGGGGGGGTGCGAATGGGGAGGAGTGGGGGAAGGAAGGGATAGTAGGAGAAAAATGAAGGAGTGGGTGACAATGTTTGACAAGAAATTTACTCATTACTTATGTAAGTGTAACCCCTCTGTACAGTACCATTACAATAAAATAAAATAAAACATGATCCTCAGATCTCAGCCTCCTGAGTAGCTAGGATTACAGACATGAGCCACTAGCACCCAGCTCATATTTAATAATTCTCCCCTGATTGGCTCATTAATATTATGTAATTTCAAACAAATTCCTAGTCAAATTTTTGAGTTGATATCAACAAGATTATTCTTATATTCAGGAACACCAAGTTAAGAACACATTTATGGAAGTGGCTCTGTAGCTCAAGTAGAGCTACAGAGGTAGAGCACTAGCCTTGAGCTGAAGAGCTGAGGGACAGCGCTCAGGCTAGAGTTCATGCCCCATGACCGACAAAAAAAAAAAAAAGGAAACATTTATGGAATAAGGTGATAGAATTTACCCTATATATTTACAGCATTATGAAATTATACTAATTAGTCATAGTAACTAAGATTTGTGGTAAGGGCTTCAGGATAAAGAAATAAGCCAATCGAGCAAATTAGCCCTGAAAATAAATGGTATGTCACAGATGTGGCAGTACAAACAGGGAACAAACGATTGTTCTAGAACTGAGAATGTTTAAATTGTTTTTTTCTATGGTGGGGGAAAATGAACCTCTACATTTCACCAAGCAAAGTAACAGAAAAGCCAACTATTCAATATTAATAGAAGAAAGTATAGGATAATACCTTTATGATATTTGGAAATCATTTACCATTATTACCTCAAGATATGAAATTTTAAGGAAGTGCTACTTATAAAGATGAATGAATGTCTCTATATGAAAAATGAAGAGTGCCTTTTCTTCAGAAGTTCTTTGAAGACAATGAAATTGCAAGTCACACTCAAAAAAAAAGTAACACCAAAAAAACAACAAAGGATCAATATTCAGAATAAAGATCTTCAGTGTCTTAATTAAACAAAGAAGACCCAATAAAGTGGACAGAAGACTTACAGAGACATCTGGCAGAAAGAAGAAATAAAAATTGCCAAGAATAACATGCAAAATGCTCATAGCACTTTGTGTCTAGTTAAGTGCAAACTTAAAATTACAAAGTCCATGGCCAATAGATAGACAAAACACCTAAGCTTTGCATGATGCTGCAGCATGGAATCCAAACAACTTGGGAGGCAGAAATTAAGGAATAGTAATTCAAGGCCAGGCCAGGCATGAAAGTTCATGTAACTCCATTTCAACAAATGACTTGCTACTGTAGAATTTATGTTATTTGTAGAAAATAGATGGAACAGGAGATCATCATGTTTAGTGAAATAAGCCAGACTCAGAGAAATACTATACATTTTCTCTCATATGTGGAAGCTAGACATAAAAAAAAAGAATGAGCACAAATGGGAAACTATTGTGAGGGA